TATTTTAAGTTCAAGTCGAATAAGTTATGTAAGCCTTGTAGTGTAGTGCAGTGTAGCTTTTTATTTATTTATTCTATTTTCTTTGTCTTTTTTTTTTTTGTAATTAAAGTAGTTGTTGTAAATTTTGTAATGTTTGTATGTTTCGATCTGTATGTTGTTTGTACTATACCTGTAAAAAGAAAATAAATAAAAAAAGTAAAAAAAAAAAAAAAAAAAAATGACCATCTGCATTTTAAAGCATTTGAAATACCGCTACTCACAGTTCACATGAAACGAATTAACCTCATGAAAAGGCTTTTCCCCCTCAATTCATCCACCTTATATTAGCTGGTTTTATATTAATCAATCCAATTTTTTCTAGGGATTCTTTTCTCAATTAAACGTTTCTTCTAAAAAACAAAAAGTCAAAATCAAGACGAGGCAACTGCCTCGTCTTGCCTCATGCTAGCTACGGCCCTGCTGAAGGATGTGGTCAGTCACATTTTGAGCACTTATTTTGTGTCTCCTGAATGGAGGTTAAATTTGGGTTTTGGGACCCACAGAAAGTGTCCCTTTCCCTTGAAAAGAGGTGTCCCTTAAAAAGAGGTAACAATTACAGTGGTTATGTGAACATTTTACCGGGACCAAATATTGTGACCCCTGAATGGAGGTGTCCCAAAGGAGAGGTTCGACTGTGTCACTGACCTGCATGCTAAAACCTGAACACAAAACCTGTTTGAAAATGATTTGCAGAATGTAGTCAAAAGGGATTTTTTAAGTACATCTGAAAATCATTGAGGAACACAGTCAAAGCTTGTGGTGAATTCTCACTTACTATGCAGTGTAATTGTCACCCTTTCCTCTAACATCACAAATAAATCAGGGGCACCCAACGAGAATATGGTTCAAAACCAATTAAACATAGCATAGTTGAACGTAGTGTAGTATTTAAACGATAGATATAGGCATATTTTATCCCCTAAAAATTTTTCATCTTTTCGGATTTCCTAGCTGAAAGTCTAGTGATCCGAAAATTTTAGGGATCAAAAATTACCTTTTCGAAAATTTTGGCCAGAAAAAAGGCTCCCGAAAACTCTAGGTGACCATTTTAGGGTAAAAATCCGTTAAAAATGGGCAATTATACCATTTTTTAGATGTTGGAAAATCCTAGGAAAGGCAGACAAACAAGAAATTTTACAACAAATGTTCCGAAAATTCTAGATCTCAAATCGTCTTCCAAACAGATATTTTCCAAAAATTGACGTTTGATAAATCATAAATGTCATCAAAGATCAGAAACAAAGCAATGCTCTACCTCAAACTAGGTTCAAATCATGAAAATAAGAATTCATCTTAACCTTTCAAGTGTGAGTCTTCAACACACTGTTATTTTGAAGCAAAGATGATCACAGGAGTACACTGAAACCATCGACCTTCAATACTTGTTTGTATAGCCCAAAGATGGATAGTTGCTGTGGTTTATTTTGGTTTTTTTTTTCCTGTCTTGATATTTCATATTTCAGATGGGATCTAAATACAAAACAAAAAAAATAAATAAAGGGTTATGTTACAGGTCAAAATTAGATCAAGTTAAAATTTGTTAACCGAGGTGACGAAGGAAATTGAGAATTTAACCAAGATTACAAAATTTTAACCTGGATTTAATTTTGACCAGTAACATATACATATACCACTAGGGTATCTTAAAAGATAGTAATGCTGCAGCTCATTCTGCATCCTCGAAGACCCAGGGTCAGAAAGTGGGGGCGAGGGAAAGTCTAAACGGGCGGGAAAACGAAAATGACATCGAATGTCCTATTTACATGTTGGAAAGTAATAATTACCATCAGTCTATAGAAAGAACTCGTGGGGACCTTAGAAAAGGGTCATTACGACAAGTGGTTATCAACTCTGGTTTTCCCACAGTAAATTGTAGGAAATGATAAAAATTCAGATTGTTTACCCATATATTTAATATACGGTGAGCTATCTCTTCCCTGGAAACACGATACTCCTCTTGCTGTTTATTGCACTTAATTGAATAACAGTTATTTAGGTATATATGTATAGAAATTAACAACACAAAGCAACGGGAAAAAAAAGGAAAATAGAAAAAAAGCGTTGTAAAGGAGTCGAACCCGCACCTTCGGCTCGACGCGACCACACCTTACCACTACTGTCACCACAGAGGCTGATTACATATTAAACCTCGTCGAAAAGTCTTTAACTTAGTGCCTTTTGGATGGAAACTTCCGCCGGCGAGATGATCAAGCTGCATTAACTGAGCTATTAACAGTTAAAAAAAACAATGCAAACGCATATTCTATGGCAATGAATGGATGAAAGAACATAATTGTGCTTTACAAACGTTTAGAAAACGACGATACACGTCCTCGTCTGTAAAGTAGGACGCAAAACATATGTTTTGTTATCTCGAATTCCGCTGTTATTTTGAAGCTAATGGTCAAAATCACATACATTTTCGGCTCATTCTTTAAGAATAGCATGGCATGACATTTTGTCACTTTCACATCATCTTCTAGCCAGCTGGAATTTGTATATCCCCCGTGTTGCGGGGTCGAAGAGCAAATGCTCATCTTCTCTTCAAGTTTAACGCCTAGACGAGTCAAAGGCTCTTAAATTGAAATCCAATCCACAAGTTAAACATCGTACTCATCTGAAAGACTCCTGCGTGTCTTAAACTTGTTAAGGCCTCTAACCGTGTTGTAGAAAATTTGCCACTCAACTATTTACGGTCTAATTCAGTTAAGACTGCTATTTGAACATTAAATTAAACAAATGGGAAGTTTTGTGCCATTTTCATCCGCAAGAATTACTTTGTACAGTATTAATTTCTGACAGGATTGTATAATTGAACTTTAGGTTAGTCAAGTCTGACAGTGGTACATGTAACTACCGTAATTGTCAATATAATAAAGTGTGCTGGAACAATGAGGAAAAAAGGTAATTCTTATCAGGAATAACACAAAACGTTATGCTATTTTCTCGACTGGTGGGAATTAACTGATCCAGTCGGACCGACAGCAGTATAAAGTTTGACACCAACTTGCATTATCAATAAAGTGACCATATTTGAAAAAAAATATTTATAGAAGGACTAATAATTGCAGCCTCAGTCGTGTCTCTGGGTAGAGGGTACAATACTCATCCGGCCCAGTACTTCTCGTCTCTTTCAGCGTAGCCATGCCACACCTGCTGACTGTGCTGTCCTTCAGCTATAGGAAACAACGATTTTTACAGACCTGAGGCCCCTTCCATCGCGTAGTTTGTGTTCTCTATTTTTATATGCACAGCCACACCCCTTCCCCTCCCCTCCCCTCCCCCCCCAACGCCCTTGTCCTAACAGCTAATATGGTAGGAGAAAAACAAACTAAAAGCAGGCAACAGGCCCGTAGGGAAGGGAGTGCGACGGGTGTGCTCGCGCACCACCCCTCCCCACAGGCCCCCAGAGTTTCGTTTTTTTTTAGACCAACAATTGATTTAAAACAAAGTGAATTAATACTGTTTTTCAATTGTTATTCCGACGTTAATTGTTGACAATCACAAAACCCGGTGTTTTAGCCTTCGTCGAAAAGTATAAAAAGAGGGTTTGGTATGCCTACAAGGCGTTTACCCCTTGCTAATACATCGCTTACTTCTAAAAATTTTGGCCTTAAGGAGTAAAGTCTGTTTTGGAGGATTCACAGTGCAGATTGAGCAAATGTTTTCTTGCCGCTTTTATTTTACTGGGAGGTCATGTGGTCTTTTACTGTTCAGTCGCTGCTGTGATTCCTTATCTTTGCTCCATCGTCCATCAAGCTAGCTGAAGGTGTTCGATTTCGTTTCTTTTTTTTTTAAAGTGGCTTAATAGCCTTTAGGGTTTGTTTCCATAGTTTCCTGTGAGCTGAATCTGAATTCTTATTTTCACAGTATGTTCAAGGTTCCCTCACTGGTATGGAGGACCCTGGCAGGATATTGAAACTCCCATTAAAGCTACCCTACTCTTTTAGTAGAAAAAATTGTACTGCCACTCGGGCAACAGTGTTGCTTGCATCAGTCGACTCCAATCCCTTTCATGTAAATTAGAATAATGCAAGTCTCAGGACTGGAGTGCGATGATGTTACTATTTCTCCCTTTGCGGTTATTGTGACATTTGCTAGCTAGGTAGCAACATTATTTTGTTTCTGTGGCGAGGGCAGTACAACCGTTCTGACTGGCTTAATGTTGAACTTTAATACGTATTTATCAGGCCTTATCAAGGATAGGAAATTCGCGTTGTCTCATTGGCTGCGTAACAGCCAATTACAGGAGCCACTAATGGGCTACTGCCAATTACAAGGGGTGGATCTCGGATCCTTTTTTTCTTGAAGGAGATAAAGGTATGCATTGCTTCCTTTTTTGTTTGGTCCTTTCTTTTTGAGGATAGCTCAAAATATCCGCTGTTTTCTGTGGCCAAAAAGTAGTAGTCGCGGCACAAGAGAGGCTCTCCTCACTGGCTCCCGTACACAATACGGATTTACAGCTTTCTTTCTACCTTCTTTTCTTTTTAAATACTGACATCCCGCATTGCCATTCTAAAAAAAACTGTAAGTAAAGTACTCCATTTGAAAAAAATTACTTTTGAAGATTAAAAGTTTGAAAAAATAACCAGTTTTTAAACACAGTCGAAATGCATTCTCAGACAACCTAATAACACCCCCCCCCCCACCTCGTTCGGTCCGTCTCCTCCCTGGATTGCACCTCCCCGTAAAAAATCCTGGCCACGGGCTTGTGCAAAGAGAAGAACAAACCAAACAAAAATATTTCAACGTTCCCATCTCTGCGCCCGATGCAGTTATATAGTCCTATTAGTATCCTTCTCTTTCCGTCAAATGTCTGAAGTTGTAGATTTGAAATTCATGTCTTTATGCGTATATTATTATGTGTGGGGACGAGTAGTCAATTCACACGCGAAGTTATACGCTTACATTAAATTCTTGTCAGCCCAGGTTTCTTAAATATTATACATATCTCTTCGTAGCCATGTCATCCATTCAAAGATTCTACAGGTAAGCCATCGAAGCACCAAGGAATAAAACAGCGTATGAAATCTTCAAGCATCACAAATTAATAATAAACTCATAAACTAAATCAATACGATAAAGGAAGAAAATACATCTGGTGGAAGTTTATGGTTAAAGAAACTACTTTTCTGTAAGATGTCACAGGAATTAGCTTAAGCACTTCGTCAGGCATAGCTTAGCATTAGTCTTAAACATAAACGTCATGAAAATTCGAGGAAAAGTTGCCAATGCAACAAAACAAGGACCAATCTAGGGTCCACAATTACGAGAAACTATTACAAGTTTTACAACATGAATACTTGACCGTTCAAAACTTGTATTAAAGCTTAAAATTAGCTTAAGCTTACTTACAATCCATACAGAGAAGTCTTTATAAACATTTAATTCTGTCAACGAGAACCAATTCAAAGGACTTCTGCAGTTGCAGCAAAATCTTTTCAACGGAAAGTCTTCTCTGAATTGTCCATAATCTAAACCTTTCGATAAAATAAAGCTTGCGACTTTACGTTCAAGCGGTTTCGTCGTTGTTTATTCCTGGTAAACGCCAAAAACGACCGCAACCCCAAATAACTCAGAACTTGTAAACACGGAATCGACCCAGTTATCATGTTTTTCGTCCCAAAGAAAGCGGCTCGCAACTCGAACATCTTGTCCTTTCATCTCACCAATGCTCACAACACAGACGATCTTAAACCGGCTGAATCCTAGAAGTTTCACTCTTTCACAGATAGTGTGAGACAGCGATTTGCTCAACGCTTTGCATCTCACCGGATCGTACTTCACATCTTTCAAAGACGTCGATAGCGTCTCGTCCAGAATTTCTTTCACTTCGGCGGTGTGAAATCGCTTGTCTGGCTCCATTTTGTACGTATTTTCGTAGCGGACCTTCTGATGAACACCGTGGATTTGGCTGGGAATAATGCTAGGGATAGAGACCATACTAGAACCACGATCTCGCTGAACTGCAAATCCAACTTCAAACAAACTTGACCGCCGTTGTTTCGACGTTGCAGTTGGTAGTTTTTGAGGCAGGTTCTCTCCTTCGTTTCCGTCAGTCATCGTCAAGAAAACTGTGTAAACAGTCTTAAGCAAAAATAAAAGCTTGTATTAAACAAAGCAAGAGTACGGACGACAACTTTCCTTGAAAATTTTCTCAAGGAGAAAAAAAAACTATGATGTGGCTGTGATGTCATGTGACCTCAAACGCGTCATCATTTATAATACCCATGATACACTGCAAGGTGAGAAAAGAGAACGATCGTAAACAAAACAAAATAAATCACAGAAAATCGGCAATTAAAAACTCAGTAGAGTGAAAATGTAGAGTGGGAAAATGAAAATAGTACAGGAAAGTGTGTAAGAGAACAGCGAGAAAAGTTTTAATTATGATTCTATTCTCTAAAATATGACTAAAACATAAATTTCTTGACGGTAAAAGAATCATTAAATCAATGAATTGTTTCATTGTCAATTATTTTAATTCGCTCTCCTGAAAAACGGGAAAAAATAACTCCTGTTATTGAAGATACGCGCACGGTTATGGGAGTTGTACCCTAAACCAACCTTCACAGGGGAAAAGAAGCTGATAAACGCAGCAGCAGATAGGGCAGACGCGCACGCAGAAAAGAGAGTAACAGTTCCATCAGAAAAGAGACCACACACATCTGTGACCTTTGCGCCTGTGACTGCCACTCTCGCATTGGTCACTAGAGCACAAAAAAAGAAAACAAACGACGCTTCTAGCTCCGGACGAGCAGACAACTAGAACAATTACATGTAAGATACGTCATACATGGTGGCTGGTTGACGGAGGCATGTTAACGGAGGTGTAGCATACCAATCTTCACTGTACTCTACCGTGCTAACGCCTTTTAATGGACACTTTTCTGCTCTTTATACTGATTCAACTGTCGAACAACATTGAACACTTGGCCATTCCCTATAAAAAGTGACTGCTTAGTGGCGTTTTGACTGCAATCAATTGTGTGTTTTTCAATATAGCCTTATAAAGCTAATCGATCCAAAAGGATGAGGAGCCTTCTATCATAAAGATTGACAAAAGCGAATCGCCGTGTTCTGGTAGACTACCCAACCTGGCATGGGCCTATCTACAATGTTGGACAAAATAGATGGGAAATTTATACCTATATTTATATTTATACCTTATATTTATATCTAAAAAAGTCATAGCGAGTCAAAATGTGGAATTTGAAAAAGGAATACTTCGCGAATCAAAAACAAACAAAATGAACTGAAAGCTGAGAACTAAAAATGTTTGGCAGTTTTTGGTTTACAACTAATGTTGACCTACCCAAAGAAGCTGCACTAGAAAAAATCCCAAGAATAAATGCAGTTTTCCACGGAAATCTTGCAATTCGAAAAACAAGCTCGAAGAAGAGCTGAATTACTTGTCTTTTAAGGGTCAAAAGGTGCAGATCAACAACTTTCATCTCAACTGGTATTATTATAGATTTGCAACGTTTGGGTCTTTGAAAATTAACAACAGCATTTGATATATAAAAATTTGATACATAAAAACATCGATTGGAACTAAAATGCAAGCGTGTTTGTTTTTTCTGGGTGTTAACCAGGAATTATAGTCCAAGACCAAACAGATTAGTGGGTTCCAAAACAGATTAAAACGATTATCTCTTTCACTCGGATTCAGCACATGTCTTCTCCTAGGCCAGACGTGCCAAAAACACTCAGCTCTTGTTGATAAAGTGCGCGGATATATTTTTATACTAAACGGAACAAAACCTCAACAATAAAATAATGTGTGCACGGACCGGATCTTGACAAATGGATTATTCTTAAAAGACGAAACTAAAAAAAAAAACAGCAGCAAATGGACCCTTTCGGCAAAAGGAAGATCAAACCAAACAAAAATATTTCAACGTTCATATCTTTGCGCCCAATGCAGTTATATAGTCCCATTAGTATCCTTCTATTTCAGTAAAATGCCTGTTATTTATTTAAATTTGCAATGATATTTAAACATGTTTTAAATGCGTCCGTGTTATCGGAGTGTGCGTATTAAATAGACCGTGTTCTCGAGGCGACAGTTGACTGTAAAGAGATTATACAAACTTGCCTTTTAGGCAGGTTTTCAAACCTATGACGAAGGTCTGAGTTTAAGATCGCACTGATAATTCATCGTTTACAACAAATGTATACAGTTTTTCATTATTATTTGATCTTTCTCATTCTTACCCTCGTCATCTCGTAAGGATAAGCGCTGCTGTCTCTTTTCATTTATTTTACCTCGTGCGGTTAATTTTCTCTTTTCTTCTTTTCTTAATTCCCCAGTCCTCTGATACCAAGAGAACTGTCCACAATAAGAAAAAAAACAGTGGACAGGACAGTAGGCTGCGAGATGTCTTCTTTGCCCTTTGTCGCCGGAAAAGGAAAAATGGTACACCCGATTTAATGAGAAGGAGGTGTAAGCGGGGAGAGGAGGGGCAGGAGCGACTGATATTTCCAGTTTATATTATTAACATTTTATTTTGGAAGGGAACCGATTAAAGACTTGCTCACTCTCATTTTTACATGAAACACTTGGCTTGTTCTTAAAATAGATTCGATAAAGGAGTACTCTCAAAACATCTTTGAGCAGCGCCGCACTGGCAAACGAACGCAGGTGGAGTTCACATGATAATTTTATGCTTTCTTCTCGTACGCGATACGTCCAAACGGTAAAGAACATACGGAACATACATCCTTACTTCTCTCGTTCCCTATATGCAACAGCTCAAACATGTAGTTGCACAAAAGTCTTTTAATCATTCAAAATAGCGCTAATATACTTATCAACATACCAAATGACACAATCGAGAACACAAAATGATGAATTTGACATGAGCTCACGTCGCTCTCAAACGAACAAATAAAATTAAAAATAGAACATATCGGCATTTACCCGTTACCTGCTTCGTTTTCTGAAATGTTTTATTTCAAACGCTTGTGGAGAGAATTTTATTCAAAACGTCTCTCTTGTGGCCCAAGATAAACACGTGGCATTAGAAAACAGCTACACTCAGGCCATAACATTTTAGGGGGAGTTTATGTTTTAATATCCTTGCGGAGAATTAGCCAGAAGTCGGAGAGGAATTTATTGATTAGTTACTGAAACTTTCAAGAACCTAAGTAGGGTAAAGTTCATGTATCAAGACGTCCATTTTACATTACAGCGACAACAATCAGGCTAATGACGGCACTTTATACTGAAGCTTACTGAATACTAATTTCAACTTGGGGGCGTGTGCATAGTGAAGATCGATTTACCTTCAGTTGCTGACAAAGTCTTTAGCAGTAGTATCAACTGTCGACTGGAAATTCGCCTTTCTCCGTCGCAAAGTACTCCGAATCTAATGGATGATTATCGCAGTATTTAAAGAACATGCGGGAATCGACGGCAGGATTGTCGTAAACAAGTGATATTTGATATTTTACTCCGCGTTCTTCCACTGACCTTTGTCTCGTCAGGTCATCAGTTAAAACACAGGAAACCCAAGCTCAGTCGACAGTATGAGAGTTCAATGATTAATACTCTAGATCTCTTGTTGCGTAATCCTCAAAATGGCCGTAAAAATAAGGCTTTGACACTTTTTGTTTTACCATACGCTACCAATTGAAAGTGTCACGCATAAAACGGTTTTTCTGTTCCGTGTCTGTTGACCATTCAAAGCGCATTCAAATCCATTTATCTTGTCATTATTCGTTCAATCATATCTCAAAAAACTGGCGCCGCTTTGTTTGTTAATCTCGAGGACTCACGAGGGGAGAAAAGGAGCGGAGACGCCAGCCTCGGAGACCCGGTATGGTTTTCAGTCCAGTTACCCCCCCCCCCCCCCTAATTTATTAACGTGACAGCGCTGCATCAACTTGAAACAGGAATATTTTTGTTATATCTGCATGAAGCAAATGATATAATTTTGAATTCGGAGCAAACACGACAAACATGCTTACCCAAGTCCCGTCCAGGCTTTCGTCAACTTTTCAAAAAGACGCCGCTATATTCGTGTTGATCAATGATAGGGATTTTGATAACGAAATTCCTATCTTTTATCCATCGCCTCTTCAGCTGACGCATACTTTGTTAGTTTCCCTACTGTATGTCCTTTAAACAGTCCAGTTTTTCTTTCAAGTCACAGGCTGACGGACATTCCCGTAGAAGTAACCTCGACTGCCTGATCCTGAATTATGCTTTGCAACTGGGAAATAACAACGACGCTAGCAAAGACGGTTCTGGTCTTCGCAACTCAAAACAAACGGGGCACCCAACGTCAATTTTCGGAAAATATCTGTTCGGAAGACGATTTGAGATCTAGAATTTTCGGAACATTTATTGTTGTAAAGTTTCTTGCTTGCCTGCCTCTCCTAGGATTTTCGAACAGCTTAAAAAATGGTATAATTGCCCATTTTTAACGGATTTTTACCCTAAAAAGATCACCTAGAATTTTCGGGAGCCTTTTTTCTGGCTTAAATTGTCGAAAAGGTAAGTTTTAATCCTTTTAATTTTCGGATCACTAGACTTTCAGCTAAGAAATACGAACAGATGAAAAACTTCTAGGGGATAAAAATATGCATATATCTACCGTTTAAATACTAATGCTTTGTTTAAGTGGTTTCGAACTATATTCTCGTTGGGTGTCCCTGAACAAATAACTGAAAAATTACACTTTCTCTGAACCCAGTTGGTAACACTGCCCAGGGGCACCCAACGAGGATATAGTTCAAAACCACTTAACATAGCATTGTTGAACGTATTTTAGTATTTAAACGGTAGTTATAGGCATATTTTTATCCCCTAAAAACTTTTCATCTGTTCGGATTTCCTAGCTGAAAGTCTAGTGATCCGAAAATTATAGGGCTCAAAACTTACCTTTTCGAAAATTTCAGCCAGGAAAAGGCTCCCGAAAATTCTAGGTGGCCTTTTTTAGGGTAAATATCCGTTTAAAATGGGTAATTATACCATTTTGTAGATGTTCGAAAATCCTAGGAGAGGCAGGCAAGCAAGAAATTTTACAACAAATGTTCCGAAAATTCTAGTTCTCAAATCGTCTTCCGAACAGATATTTTCCCGAAAATTGCCGTTGGGTGCCCCTGACTGCCAAGACATCTTACCAAAAAGACGGTGCAATGCTTTTCGAAAAAGAAAACCGAAATAAAAAATCTCTCCCAGCTAAGCCCTTAAAATAACTTCTTGCGAGCACGATTCAAACAGTTCTAAAGCCGCTGTCATGCCGCAAGTGTGTTATACAAGAAGACTTGAATTTCCATGGACTGACAAATAATGTATTGATGTGATAGACAAACTCCCAAGAGGAGTTCTTAGCCAATGGTACTCTGCGCGCGCACCACCAGAGAACGTAGAAACGTAGAAAACAGCTCCTGAATCATCAATGTTTGTGTATTTAAGCTTATTTAATTATTATCATAATCGAGTTTTTTGTTTTAATTTTGCTGCTATTGTTGATTTTTGGTTTTGTTTTAACAGTTAAGTTACTACAGTCGTAGATATTAAAACATTTAAATTATAGTAACTAGCGACCGACACGTCTGCTTGGAGAGTTAGGTGCAGTAAAACTATACTATACTTAACAATTAATGAATGAGGCTGAGTATCTTATGAAGAATTATGGAGATCGAGGAGTGTGTTATCCGTCGAGGCCGCAGGCCGAGGCAGATAACACCCTCCGAGATCTCCATAATTCTTCATATGATACGAAAGCCGAATTCAATAATTGTTTTATTATTCGTTCAAAATAATTCCTACTTTGAAAACATTGCTAAAACATGCTAACCTCCATCGATCCATCAATGTTAAGTTCATCTTCGATATTGCACGTTTAGGTTTGTCCAGCTCCGCAAATATTCTCGAAATAGCAGATGTCGCCCTTCGAGTTGTCTTCTTGCTGTTCTTGCCACGTTTTTAGCTATGTTTTCGCCTAGTTCTTACTCTTGAAACGAGTGAAATGTCCGCCATTTTTCAAGTTCACAATCAAAACAACTCAACTTCGTCCCCAGGTCTTCTCGGTTAACAGTGCCTTCACCTGCGAAAACGCTGCATTTTTGACGTCATTTCCTCGTTAAACACAAAATTCTTCCAAATTTGGTCATCAGTAACTGGTTATGGTGAATTAAACGAGTGCTTTTAGCCAATCAGAATCGGTAAAATATTTTGAATGAATAATAATATACCATAACCACACCACACCGCACCGCAACGCACAGTGCAGCACCGCACCGTACCATACCATAGCATATAGCATAGAATGCCATACCATACAATACCATTCCATACCATAACGTAACCGTACCATACTATACCATATCGTTCCCTCCCATACCATATGCCGTAACGTAACCGTACCGTACCATACCATACTTATACCACGCCATGCCATAACCGTACCATACCATACTTTATTATTCAACCTCACTCGGTCGAGTACAAATAATTTTCATGGGAAGAGGGTCATGTATGGGGAATTCGCTCTCTTAGATCACTCTTGACCATACCATACCATACCATACCATACCACACCACACCACACTCAATCACTCATTCAACGGATCACTCACTTACTCAGTCACGTCCCTGAACTGAATGGCATTTTGCAGTGGTCTTTAGTTTCCTTGGCAAAACGTCCTCTTATTGTTATTAAGAGACTGGTGCTCGCCCAAATGGAGATCATAACAATATTTACAACCGCCACTGCAATGTGCCGTTTCCATCGTCTTCGCCAAACGGCCATGACGGGCATATTCTGATAATGAGTTTCAATAGCTATAGAAACACTCGTGAAAAACCATTCGATGAACAGTGGAACGGAAGTGGTAAGTGCAAATGACTGAAGAAGTTCCAAAGGTGTATTATTAGCGATGTAAAAATACTGGTACAAATAGAGGAAGCCATTCACCGAGATTATTGCGCTGGACTCATACAACATGCTCATAATACAGATATCAGCTGCAAGTCTTTCTCGACGAGGTGTTCGGAAACCACCCCAAGGAAGTTTCCTTTTTTCAAGAGCTTGATGATAAAAATGATCAATGAAAACCATAGTGCTACGCTCAATAACTTCCGCAATCCCATGAATGGCTCCAATAAGTGCGACTGACTCTAGACTTTGAAGATCCACTTGTAATAGTCTCATCATCACCGCTGATCCACAATACAGAGGAACTAGGAGCACGAATGATGTTGCTGGATGACTGATTCTGCACCATAACCGCTGAACACAAATACGCGAGAACCCTTTAAGCAGAACTGTAATGAGAGGAGCAAATATCGCAATTATTATTTTGCCAGATATTTGTTGTTTGTTGTATGCAGGGTAAACGAAGTTAGCCACAAGTTCGGCAGAGAGTTGTGTGGAGACGCACACAAGCATCAGAACTAAAACAATCTTAATCTGCTTCTTTCTAGGCCTGGGATAAAAGTGTCTGGCCAACATACAAAGTTGTAAACAAACATTTGTATAGTACATTACTTTCGGAGCAATTCGTTGCCAAGATGTCAAAAAAGAATGCGAGATTCCGAAGGCTTGCATAGTAATTCGATAAGCTGAATCAAGTAAGTAAAACCCAAGACACAAAAGGAACAATTTTGATCGTAACCCCCATATTTGAAAAGAATGAAAATAACATAAGATATTCAGAACAAAGGACAGGTAAATAAACGAATTGGAAAATACTTTAGAAAGGGTCATAACCCATTGCAGTTTGAAAGGGATCGATTCTTTCGGAACAGACAGACAGATGAGTTGAATTTGAAAGCTGAAGTAAAATGAGACGATTGAGGCCAGCCCAACAGTGAAGGCAGTCAAAATAGAAATAAATAATGCAAAGCACAACGAAGACCGAATTGTACGAACAATCGACGGTCTGAGCTGTTTCCAAGCCATTGCTCTCTCATTGCTTACTTCCTGAGATTGCTCGCTATAATCCGTTGAGCTTGCATCTATAATTCTAACGTCAGGACGGTTTGACGTCAAATAATCCCTGGTTACAGCTTCGCTGTTGCTGTATTCTTGGTAGATGACTTCATCGGCAGGTTGAGAGTACCATTCTTTTCCCGTGTCGTCCAAGGTATCGTAGCCAAATATGGCTGACTGATTCTCGCCTTCGTGGAAATTGTAGTGCTCGGCGACACTACGTGTAAAGCTAAACAGGATGTGACCAAATACTTCTGCAATGGTTTGGCCAATCATATTTGCCAACACCTCTTAGTGTCAAATGCTCCAGTGTAAAATGCAGTTGGCTGTACTCTACAATCCTTTCTACTTCAGAGGTGTCGTTTCATCAGAAGTTGTGCGTTACTCCTTTTAGGCTTCAACTCACTTTAAAAAAAATTTTGTTCGACTAATTGATTCAGTCTTCACCATGTTTACAGTTCATGGAAAGAAACTGCGAAACGTCAGTGCGCAATTACTGACTATATGTACGTTCGAACCACGTGCATTTCCCGAATCGAATGTAAATAAAGTACTAAACTTTATTTATTAGCAATAGATTATGTAAAATTAAAAAGTGAAGTTCTAGGGCTGAAGCATGGCTTGCACTCCAGTACGGTAGGGGCCGCGTCGGCCAAACCATTTTTGCTAACAGCAACGCTAACACCAACCAATATTTGAAGGACGGTCAATTCATTTTTTTTTTTTCACTAGTACATCAAGGTTTTTATCCATGGTTAAATGAACTGTAAGACATTTTAAAACTTTCGAAATCCTCCGGTGTAGCTGTTTCGGTTTAGTTTCAAAGTATAGTGTATTAATAAATTCCATCAAAACACTACAGTACATTACAAAAATGAAATAGTCAAGGTTTCTTCCTCAGACAAGCGGAATTAGCTATGTTTAAGCATAATTGCTCATTCCTTAACAGCATAAAAAAGAAGAGTGTTTCAACGTCTGCGCCAGAGGCTAGATTACTCCAGCATGTTAAGGCATGACCTAGAGCATTATCTTAAAAAAGTCAGTAAAGAGTCGTTATTTTAACAAGATATACCTTACAGCATCAAACTTTGTAATAACATAAAACTTAATGTCCTAAGTTATTGTTCACTTTAAGTTTTGAATTTTTTGCTTCACGTCACCTTTTATAACAGTGTTCTTACGAGAAAAAGAGAAAAGTGAAAATGGGCCACCGACATGACATATAACGAGTTTCTATTGAACAACCAACATATTTCAAAGGTTAAACTCCTTTTAGAATCTGTCCTCAATGGCCAACTAAATTAATTTACCTTAACACAAAAATTTTTTAAAAAGAGGTCTAGTGATTTTTTAATAGTTTACGGTCAGACTCAGAAAACCCTGAACACCTGAAAAGTTTCGGGAAAGTTGATTGTGTAGTGAACAATCACAATTAAGTTCAGGGCACGCGAACAAACCTTTAGACCACAAAATAATTACCGTTACTATTTGCGGTTTGGTTTTCTAACGCTTTATTGGCTTTTCCTCGCAACACAATATCATTCCATAAATATATTTGGTGTTCACGGTTTTGTGGGTTTTACAATAGTGAAATAAGATTTTTCTACATTCAGGACGCGGATTCTATCTATGCATCAATACCTTAAATAAAATAAAGCTGCTTGTTTGGCCGCCAAAATAAAAAGCCATTGGCCCATTTCAGATGTCACTTTTCCCTTAATCGTGACGTCATCAGGCACATGACTGCTGTTGTTTGCCCTCAACAGACTTTTTTTAGTAGTGGTTAAAAATCAAAAGATCATCGCTTGTATGAACAAAAGACCTTGTCCTTGCGGGGGTCTTAGATCGAAGGACGGGGAATGCCTTAACATGCTTGAGTAAACCAAAACCAAGTGACAATTTTCAGATTCTCAAGACTAACAGAAAATGCTTGGTCTAAGCCGTCAGAATGATCGTTGCATTTAAAGCAATCCGGATTCGGGAATCAGGAAATCTTTGCTTTTGAATCCGTAACCATGGGCTTTGGAACATGGAATTCAGAACACTGGATACAGAATCCTGCTAACTATTGGAAACGGGAATTTGAAATCCACAACTTGAAATTCAGAATCCAAGATGTTTTGGATTTCCTTAAAAGGAGCGAGAATAACTATTGACTATTCGATATACAGTGGTCATGCACCTAGGAATGCCCTTTGGCAAGTAATAAACTTTCTTGTATTCAAGTGTATTAAAGACTGAGGCTTACTGCGCTTTTTTCGAAATCCACCAATCACAAATCACAAACCATGACCTTTTGAACCCGTTGAAGTAAAGTACTGTTTTCTAAGAGGTCCGTTAAGATGATTGACGGCAGCGAAAAAGTCAGTTGGCTGTTGAACTTCAGAATTCGCATGTTTGTGAAAAGGGCAGTAAAGAAACGCAAACAACATTGAACCAACGTTTCTTTTAGCAGGTCATAAGTTTATTAATTTTTCTAAAATATTTGCTTCTTCAGTTACAAAGCCATAGTCTTAAGTCGCAAATGGACAGTAATTTAAGCCTGTTTTAATCATTCGTACTACAAAAGAATATTTAACAATATCGAACTCAGTAAACTCTAGCTGTAGGTGACTCTATCGAATCAAAAACAGTTCTTTATACTTTGTATAATTAACTACTTTGGTTCCTAATTGATCTAATTGATCTAATTAACGACAGCCACTAGGATCACACACAAAAAATTTGTATAAACTTGCTACGCTTAGCGCAAAGGAAATTGAACTTTTGCCTTTAATCAACTGTGAAAAGCCATAATCAAAATATCGAATGCCTCTTCTAGAAATAGCGATCTCCTCTACCCTCCAACTAACGCTTAAAAAAGCTGTCTTTATCGAATAAAGAAATCACCAAAGTTTTAATCAGGACTAGGAATTATATGTTTTATCTTGATAACAGATGGACTTGTAGTTCCTTCTCGACATTTTTAAGAAGACTTTGCAAACCTGCCTTCATAAAAATCAATGTAAGAAATTAATTAAACTTCTTCACTAATTTGTCTGTAGACTTTTTCATGATACCTGCTAGTTGTTGGAAGCGACCAACACAAGCAATCGCGGTCAATTTTGTTTATCCCTATGAAGGGTAGTTTGAATTGGAGGGTGTCAGGAAACTATTCTGTCACTATTCTGACCAATCAAACACGCGCACACAGTTAAACTAACCAATCAGAGCAAATAAATGCACAAACTGGCGCCAAGGCGGGAAAAATAGGCATGCATGCCGACAATTAACGACTAGTTTACCTCTGATTCGTTCACAAAGGGGCTACAAATTTCAGCAAATATCAAAAGTAAAATAAATAAAATAATAACAAAGCAGAGAATGATTTTTCTTTACACACTTCGATGATAAATTCAAAATGATCAGTAAATTCAAGACCACATTAAGACGGACAAGGTCTTCTGTGAGCCTGACAACAATTTGGCGCGAAACCCGATGAAAGATCATTTGCCACCCTTGTGTAATCGTTAAAGATTAAGTCTATAACCACATGTCCCTTTCGCTGCTTTGGCTGAATATTTTCCGCCAGCGTAATATATCCTTCACATACGTGAATATACAAAAGTAAAAAAGGAAAAGAAAATAAGCATAAGAAGCAAGGAAAAAAAGAAATTGATAAAATGAATGTGGTAAAATAATTTCGCTCAAAACGTTTCCAATTCAGAGACAAGGTGTTCACAATTTATCATCTTTCTCTTCAATAGCACCATTGCTCACAGCGTTGGCCTCCACATCATCATATGGCACCTGTTTCAAAGAGAAAACTTGTAATTAGTTAAAGTTAAAACGTATCTTTGAGCACCTAAGGTGCGTCTCACCCACGTGTTAGCAGGGTAGGGCGTTCCGATAAAATGCAGTCACCTAAAAATATAATACAGTAGAATCCCGGTTACTCGAACTCTGAAGGGAAAAGAAAAACAGTTCGAGTTAGCGGGGAGTGCGCGTTATTGGGATAAATTTCAGCAAAATTGTGATAGGGAAAGGAAATTTAGTTTACGTTAGCGGGGAATTTCAGTTATCCGAGTTCCAGTTATCGAGGCTCTACTGTACATCAAATAAATGCTTATAAATCCAGCTAATTACGTGTACAAGACAATAAATTTCGTCGAAAGGATATCTGACCTCAGTAAAAGTAGCCGATGAAAAGGCTAACTATGAAGATAAGATCTTTTCATTTCTAGTTAGGTCTGTTCAAGAATATAGTAGACTAAAAGTGGACTCGTATTTTCCCTCAGGTATTGCGGAACGAGTGAATTACGCGAGCGCGCGTGAAAATCGACACACGCGAGTAAGTTGGCACGGGGAGTCAACACTAAGAGAGGCTTGTTTAACCAGAGTGATGGTGGTGCTAGGTTTTGAATGTCACGTTGACATCGATCGTTCAAGCTTTTTAAATGCATTGAGATCTTACTTCCCTTTTAAAATGCAATTGAGATCTTACCTCCCAGAAATCTTCATCATCATACATCTGCTCCTTAGTGGGCGGATCAAAGATCTTCAACCTCACAATGAAACCTACAAGGAGACGACAAAACGGTGAAAAAACAAAACAACAACAGCATTGATGTGTACGATAAATACTGTATCCCATCTGAGTTCGTAGTTTTCACCCTGAGGAAAAAATGTATGCGTCCATTTAAATGCAACTGAACAGTTATCTTCAGTTCACTAAATCTTGAGTATATGGGTAAAATATTTTAGGTGCGAGGATTCTCCTCAAAACTAACGAGCAGTACTTTTCGGTAAGTGGAACCATGAAAGCTACGGAACAACTTTCCTTTCAGTCTTGTGTGTTGTAAGGTAAAGAAGTTGCTTTTAACTTTGTAGTTTATGGATAAGAATCTACGAACAATTTACGTGCAACTTTTCATTTTTACGTGCTTAAAGCTGCATTATTGTTTTTACTGAATCCGCGAGCCGGCGAGATGAGCCCATCTTAACTGCTCGGGATTTTCAGCGATGGTCCCGCAAGGAAACGTTTTCTTTTTTATCATACAATAAATCATTTAAATCGTTCTCTTTGGGGGTTTTTATGGACTGAGACGAAAAGAACCTGACCAATATCCAGCCATCTTGACCTCACGCTTGGTCGAAAACGTATATTTATTATATGGCTAAATCCGCGAGAGGGCAAGATGAAGTAACTCCTACATTCTGATTGGCTACACGAGCGGGCAAGATGGACCCATCTTGTCGGCGCGGAATCTCCCGCGTTGGCCCCACATCCCGTAAGAAAACGTTGTCTTTATGGCCATATAATAAATCCCTTATTGACCAAGCTTGTTCGGTCGAGATAGCTGGATATCCCGTCATCTTGACCTCAAGCTTGGTCAATAGAGATAATTAGAGTCACGTTTACGGTAAACGTCAAACTCAAGTTGAGAATTTCTCAAAATAGAAAATACGCAGACAAAATAGTTCAAAACAATTCTTATGGATAAGACTGGCGTGAAACAAATAACCTTTTTGTAGGAGTAATGAACAGTAAACGACCAGAGAGGGGAAACCTTGGCCGCGTGATACAAAATTCACGTTTGCCGTTTTCCTTTTCCGAAGTTCCAACGAATTATTTTTTATTCTCTTCACCTCTATCAAACGGTCTGGTGCAACAGGTCGCACTGGGTATGGTATCAAGTGGCCTTTAACTTTTTTTCCCTTTTGGCCCAAGAAGAGGTAGAAACAGGTGGAGGTCAGTTTATCGTCAGATAGATATTTCAATCCGCTCTTTGACTACCTTCATTTCTTGAATAACTCTCACTTTTGTCAAACCTGTAGTATAACGGTCAACCTGAGGTTTTACCATTTACACAAACCACCTGAGTGGAAATCTTGTGCATAAACATAAAACCATAAATTTGACGTGGTGGGAGAACGACCTGCTACGGAATGTATCGAAATCAGCTGAACAAGAGTAGAAAAATTATATCACTGCAAATCGCAGCCCATATTTTCTGAAGGTTCCCAAATGAAATGAAAAGAACCACTTGATTTTCCAACCGGGATTTCCGGTTTTCCCGAGTAAATGGTGAGTACCCCTGTATCTAAGGGTCATTAAGCCAACCTCGTTCCCAAGGCGCTTTTCCCTGGCTCTGGAGCCAGAGAAAAGCGCCCTGAGGACGAGGTTGTCAGTAAGCCAATCCTAAAGGGTGACCGCTTAATACAGGTTTGACTGTACTACAACAAAGATTTTACCAGTCACGATTCCACCGATGACAGCGATGCCAAGAGCGACCGCGAGACCAGCGATCTGGTAACCAGCCTGGGCCTTGGCAGATCGACCGTCTCCAGTGACAGTCACACCCAGGTTCATCAGCTTAAGGTGGTCGGTTGAATTCTTCTCAGGAGCCATCCCAGGCCAAATATTGTACATGCTGAAAATTGTCAACACAACAATATCCAATTAGTAGTGGTAAAAGGGCTGAATGGAGTCCAGTTTGGTCAAACTTTAGTTTGTCTAATTCGAAAGACTGGTTATTTCCAATAGACTCCTCTCCACAATCTTTTTCAGCTTATGAGTGCGACCAGCTGGTAACAACGCCTTAAAACCAGTAAAGTTGCCAAGTTCGAAAAATGTTTGTTGAAAACTAACAAACATATAGTTCCACAAAGTGGCAGAATTTTACAGACATTTGTAAGGTGGAGCGCAAGTTCGTGCCTCCCCCCGCCCTAAAACTTCGCGACTTTGGGAAGCAACATCTTTGCTCTCTTCGGACGAATCCTCTTAAACTTGGTAAGCTAGGTTATTCTAATACCCTCTTTGACTTTCCGGCAGTATCGATGGATATTCGCTTACTTTTCTTTATCAAAAGTTGAAAAAAAATTTATAATAATAACAATAATAATTATAATTATAACAACAACAACAACAACCGTGAAAGGGATATTCTCTAACTATCCAATGGAACACAGTATTGGCATAAAAACAAGCGTCATCTTACCCATCATATCCGTATTTGTCAGCGTTTGCATTTGCAGCGGCTATTGCGCCCGCGATGGCACCGAGGATTCCCGGCATTCCGTGCAAGTTGTTCACTCCACAGGTGTCATGAGTCTTGGTGTACTTCGTCAGGAATGGCTGAGAAATTAATCACAAATTTTGCATACTTTTAAGTCGAACCACTGCAGATAAAACTTTAAAGAATACAATCGAGCAAAACTCGGAAGAAGAAAAAACAATAGCTACGCGAGTGATCTGATTAAGGGCGCGAATAGAAAAGGCGTCCTTACTTCGAGCGTTTCGCGGCATTGACTCTCGGTGGCGTGCAACTCAACTAATTCTAATACAAAATAAATGGCCAGTCCTAGGCGTGAAGCCCTTTTACGCCTTATTATTTTTCAAAGGTTTTCAGCTACAGCTATACAGGCCATGTATCCGTTATGGAAGAGTCACTTGGATAACACTTTCGATCGTGGCCATGGTGGCTAGAAAGGCAAGCAGTGTGGTTTGTAGTTATCAAACACGTTCTTTGGAGAAGGATCTTGTTTACTTACGGTTACATAGGCGTATCCCACGGTGCTCAGTGCTCCTGCACAGCAGCCAATCAGAAGAGCTCCCCAAGGGCTGATTGACATGTTAGATGCCGTTCCGACGGCAACGCCTCCTGCCAGGGTCGCATTTTGCACGTGGACCTTTGAAAAACATAATCGAACAATTAGCTAATACCTTCTTTTCAAAATGCATTTCAGTGCAACTTGCAAGTCTCTGAATGAAATTCTATGGCTGAAAATTAAGTCCTCATGTAGTTCTGTAGTTTACTTTTTGCACATGGTTTTCCCATCTCGTAAGTGTCTGAAAATTTTTGCGAATTCTTGAATTTTGCGCTCGAGCAGCGACTTTCTTGGCAATAAGAGAGGTTAGCCTGTGCTCTCTCCACTGTACCATTCTTGCCCCTCTAACCCAAACCTTACCCCCACCCCCTCCCATAAAATAAAAACGGAAAGTTAGTAATTTTCTCACCATACTCAATCTCCACTTGCCACCTTGTCGCTGAAAGACTGGTGAGAGAGCGAAAGTCGTGACGCAAGCGGCAGCCAGTGAAAAGTAGGTGTTGATAACAGATCGATGCTGGGCAACATAATCAGGAGCCACAAGGGCCGCATTAAAGCTGGGCCAGTACATCCAGAGGAAAACGGTGCCTGTTGGTAAAGAAACATCAATATGTACCCTCAAAAGTACTTTCCCCAGAGAGTGATTAGAAATCAGCTTGCCTGCGTAGCTGGCAGGATTTCTCGCGCGCTATTACTTCATTCAAAGGTTTAATTTGACGAGTGAGCCGCGAGAAGAATGATGACGGAATTTTTTCCACGCGGCTTCGCCTCTAGCTTCGCGCATAATCTCCCCGCCAAAAAGTATAAACCCACGCTGATCTCCGGCCAGCTATACGAGGCTAATATAGGAACCAGCCATAGCCTTAAGCTTAGGGGGAGTGGCTATTCTGACAAAAGCGCGGATACTGATTGTGTACGTAGCGCCTAGAATGATACACATTGACTGGCGCCAAAATTAAATGCATGCATTTACTGTTTTCGTTCACTCGCAAACGATGTTGGTAGGTACGTTTGTTAACGTAAAAAATGTCGTTCTTCAGTAGACTCGTCTGATCTATCATATGGACTAAGAATGCATGCGCACTTGTCAAATAGCAAGGGTGGTAAGGATAGTAAAAAGCTTATAAGCTCAACAACATGACGATCAACTTTGATCTTTACTGAAACTGGTGAATGTTTTTACGTTGTTCCAACTTTTCAGCCTATGGACAAAATGTTATGGTGGATGAACGCAAAACGAATATAAACTTTCTTTATATTGATTCTTTTCATACTCCTTTCTTATAACCCTTTTTTTTTATCAGTTCACGCAAGTAAAACAGTTGCTTCTTGTTAATTATCGGATTAAGGCTTGCCTTCTGAATAAGGCTCAAAAATGTGTGATCAAGAACTCACCAATCATGGCAAACAAATCGGAATGGTAGTTTGATCCCTCTTTAGGACTGTCCAAAGCTTCCTTGGTATAAAGAGTTCGAGACAAAGCCAGTCCGAAATAAGCCCCAAAAGCGTGGATAATAATGGAACCGCCAGCGTCGGAAAACTTCAGAAACTCGACAGCAATTAATTCGTTGATGGCGTAGAAAATAATCTCCAGCACGCCGATGACTAACAATTGTAGACGGCTTACTTTTCCCAAAACAGCTCCATAGGTGATTAGAACTGTAGCGGCGGCAAATTCTGCGGTGACCAAACTGCAAGAGAAAGGAAATGTTAGAGACGTTTAGATCCTAAGACGAGGACGACAACGAGAACGAGATTTTCTCAGTACTACGTAGTTCGCGCACGTGAGCAAGCCAGCGCAATTTTGGCGGTAAACACAATTGCCGTCATCGTCATTCTAATACGGTTTTTAGCGAGATAAGGAGTTTTAGCATCGACGACGGTGAAGGCAGCAAAAAACGCCAATGAATTCGCGTTGTTCTAAAGCTTTGTCGCGTTAATTCCAATTCACTGAAAATGTCAAATGTTGGTCTATTTCCCTGGAGTTGATTTGTTGGGGACCGCACTCAAGTTTAGAAAGACTGAGGAAGAAAAATTCTTCGTCGTTTGTCTGCGTCTTTCATTGAAGACCCATAAAAGGTGAAATTAGGCATTTTCACGTCGTAGTCGTGCAGTGACGTCAAAGAAATGTACAAAAAAGTGTGATGCACGTGCAAAGTTGTTGTTTTACTAATTAACCCTACTGCATTTTTGTGGTTCTCGTTGCCGTTGCCGTCGCCGTCGCCGTCGCCGTGTACAGCCGTCGCTCCTTGCTCCTTGCCGCTATAGGGACGTTTCGCCTGGAGGGACGGCGTTACTCCTGGCGAAACGACCCAAGCAGCGAGGAACAAGGAGAAATGGCTGTATTCGCAGGCTACTGTTTTTTGAGAACGTGTAGTTCCAGAAAATATCCCTACCCCCCTCCCCCACGGAGGGCAACGGAAATTCAGAGGGGAGGGGGAGGGGGTCCAAAAGGAGGCGATTTCCGAGGGGGTGGGGGTGGCTTCCCGAGGTCTTTTCTTCCGGGGGCTCCAATTAAGATTGGTGAGTTATTAAAAAAGTAACACTGGTCTGTTGAGCGAACTAATAGTTATTTTACTGATAATCTGTGTTGCAAAGCAAAAATTGTTGTTTTCATGGATGATCTTTTATTTGCAGTTGACTGAGTGCTTTTTTCACGGCTTACACGACAGTTTATGTAACACGATTGTCGCGACTCATAAATAAGCTTTCGGTTAGCTATCTGTTCCTTTTAATTGTTACACAATATATTGTGGTATTCACGCTAATGTGGTCATGTTCTGATAAACCTTCCTCCAACATGTTTCATCCACGAAACTAAAGGTCTCTATTATCAATGAGTAAAACAAATTCCTCACTAGACTTAATAAAAATCATCATCAACTTTCTATCTTTGAGAATACGCGCATATCGACATTTCAGTCCCAGCACAGACTGGATTTGAAGAGCCTGTTCGGGGGAGGAACGCGGGCTCATTCTCGAACAGCGGCTGGTAATCGAGCCCGGTCTTGCAGAATGCAGGATTCCACATCAACCTAGTTTAGTGTCTTTGCTCCTACGAGTTTCCTTTATAGCTTAGTGGTAGCGCCTCTGGACTAGTAACCAGAGACGGTCATAGGTTCGACTTGTGAGCCCAGTTGTTCAAAGGCCGATTAGTGCTCAAGCCAGGGTTAAATTTAACCGGGGTTTCTTTTTCTTTTGTTCAAAAGTATTTTCTCGGGTATTTTGGTCTGTTATATTAAGAGCATCCAATCATCAACTTGTTGACAAAAAGAGTTAAACTGAATTTACTTTTTAAGCCTTCAAATCTGAATTCAAATTTCGCATTAACCCTGGGTTATCTCAACCCAGCTTTGAACAACCCAGTCCTGTACGTTAGGTTTACTCGGATTTTTTCTTCCGAGCTGCCTATGTCACTTACTGAAAACAAACAAACAAACAAACAAATAAAGACAAAATGAAATGAAACTAGGCTAAAAGCCAGACACTCTGCAACACTTTCGAGTAGTTGAAGGACACGAAAAAGCAAAATAAAAATACTCACGATTGAATGCTAAGTTCAATATGGCTGTGTCCCTCGGCGTAAATCTGATTGAAGCAGCCTGATATAATGGTTCCCCACTGGGTAATAAGAGCAGCGATAAAGAAGTTGTACCCTACTGCTCCATAGCCATACTTCTTTAGGAAGGTCATCAGAAATCCGAAACCGATATAGATCATAACATGGACATCTTGGAACACTGGAAGAACAAAGAAAATTTAATGAGCCATGTCGCAGAATTCAGCCAAATCCAGCCATGGGGAATTGGCCACCGCATTACTCTACGACCACCCACTGTGCCAGTAAAACCGCGTTCATAAAAAATAAATATTAATAATGATAATAATAATAATAATAATAAAACAGGTATAGGTCACGAACCTTTATATCTGGTCGTGTTAACGAAGTTGTCCGAAAAGGGAACAGTACAATCTTGCTCGGACCAGAAAGGGGCCGATGTTAGCTTAAATCATAGTTATGAATTACTTATAAGGATGCCTTTTCAACCGCTTGCAATGCTTCGAAAAACATTCTAAAAAAAACGTAAAAACAAAACTACACAAAACAAAAGAAAAACAATGCAAACTCAACCGGGTCACTTCAAATTAATCGGCCAATCAGAGCCAGTTCTACAAAAAAGGAAACTGACTTTCTACGTTAGTAGGTCAGTCAAAAACGAGCTCGAAGGTAATTGTTTAATTCAAAGTGTCGGCAATCCAATCCCAGTGAGTTCGAAGCCCTGTAAACACGGTGTAGTGTGAAGGAAGACCATTCAAGTGGCGTAGCTGTCATCAAGAAGAAGAGTGGAATGTGACCCTACCAAGGTTGATTTTTTAAATTCCGCCAGTGCCCCTGATAATATTTCTTTCTTTAACAACAAAAGACAAAAAAACACCGCTATTTCATTGTCATTGCGAAATTAGTGCATATAAACAAGGCATATAACAATGGTCGCGGGCTATTGATTTCAAAATGCAGAATACTTCTTCAAATTCCCACCATACTGCCCTTTTAAAGGAAAAAGAATTCTATCAATTGTTGCGTGTCATTGCCTTCTGAACTATCCCTACCGGCGATGAAGAATTTTTTAAATTAACCACATCCTGAGAGAAATACTAGATTTGATTAAGATTACAAAGGGCTAAATGTGTTTGATTTGTTTTGCAGATTTTTGGTGTATTTTTACGAGAAGGCACCAACGAGGAGAAAAAGGCGAACTTGCGGAGTGGTTTATCCGGACAACGTACAACTATGTTGAAAGAAAGTTGCGAAAAATTGTTTCTGGAAATCGAATATTAGAAAATTTTATAACTGCAAGAAAAGAAAGTGTTTTCTATATACTATCGTGCACACTATCAGGTAATCAACTTTATTCTGGCAAACATGGGATGAATTTTCTCATATAAACCACAAACCGGGCTGGATCTGTCATCAAAAGCCAGCCCGTACTCTCGACCTCATTTGTAGAGGCCCTCGAGAGACACACCTCCGACCCTTCCCATTTCGTTAAGTTTGTATGTTAATTCGCTGCAAGTAATTTTAGAATACTTTCTTTGTCACTAACTCAAAATAAACGCGTCATTCTTAAGCGAAAAATCAAATAAATAAACAAATTGTTAACATTGCGGGTATCACGGGTATCGATATCAACTAAACGCGGAATTTCGCCACTAAGTTATGTTAGCAAAATAATCGGTTTAGTTGTGGTTCGAGTATGTAATGGTTCACTGGCTTTTCCATCTTGGTCAATTGAGTCACTCTTTCCTGACTCTTTCTGCTCGAGTTGAACCTCTCCTATCGTCTTCGTTTATACTTTCACAGAGAGTGATGAATAGCGGGAGACCAACAATTTGTGTAATGGCACGCAATAATCCATGAGAAACCCTTATGACTCAAGAAGTCGGATAAGGCAAGTATTTCAACTCGCCACAGGTTGTTTGACCTTTGACTTAGTTTCCGAGCATTTTTACGAGCTTTTAATCCTTAAGGAAAAACAACACGGACAAGCGAAATATGTTGTATTGCTTAGAGGGAGTTTGCTAACTGCTCATAGAATTGAAAGTGCTTTGACAAAGCTACATAGGTTTGCAAGGGATCTGTAAGCTGAGCTAAATTGTCCTTAAGTTGATTTCGAGGACCTTTATCAAAGTTCAAAAAAAGGAGGTAATATTCTTCTGTTCATATGATATACACAATTCAATACTGCATTTACAAAAGCAAAGTTTAACGAAAATGAAAAATACTATTAAGCGATAAGCTACTTACTCGGGTAATAAACCGACACATCGTTGACTTCCAAGCTGGGATTAGACGCTGATGCGTTTTGATTAGCCCCTTTGCGCTTATGAGGGGGCAAAGCATGATCACCATACTCCACCAATGCGCCGTAGAGGATGATTATCAAGATTTGAAATAAAGCTGCGACTATACAAAACTTCATAGCTCAAAGTTTTGGTTACACCCAGATAGAAAATGGCCACAGTAGCTTCGACGACTTGGCTGGTGGGTTTTAGCAATGGCTAGTTTTCTGTTCACCAACCTTGTATTTATCTTATGGATCGGCATGTTTGAAACGAATTGCTATTGGCTAGACATCTGTCATTAGCTTTGTTAATATGGTTAACGTCTGTGCCATTGTTCAAAGCAACGCTGCTTTAATAGAGGTGTTTGGGTCTATTGTAAATGCTACGTATTTCGTAACGAAGTTACTCCACGGATAATCCATGCACGCGAGCCGCGATAAACGAGAGCGTCTCGTCTCGTCCTAATCTCTCATTCTATAACGTCGTCGTTTGCAATCTTGCTGGCTCGGATGAAAAGTGGACGGATTTAAGAGAAAAGGTGGACTGCAGGCAGTCTACATGCCACACAAGAGTCCCCGAGCTACCAAATAGGGGATTTTGTAGTTACGCAATGTACAAATTTCATTCAACTCAATTTGTACATTGAATTTAGTCCAGATTGCGTAATTTGAAAGGATTCAACGAGATTTCCAATGTCTATTCTACTTGTCTTGATTGCGCATTAAATGCAAGACCTTCGTTTGTTTGAACTCCGAACTTTCAGACATTATTGTTTAGTGCACAAAGAATTAAATTATAACTAACCTGAAGCAATACTAGTCATAGTACTCAACAACAAAATGCAGTGGCAAATGGTATAGTAAATCATGACAAAATTAAAAAAAAAAACATTTTAAATGAATAAAATATATTTAAAAAACGTACAGTATATATTTAGCTCTTTCTTTTATAAGAATCAAAAGATCTCTTGAAAAAGTGAATCCAGTGGGTTCAAACCGTGATGCAAATTAAGCTAAAGGTAAAACTTAATGCGGAAAAATATTCATTCGTAATAACTCGAAAGAAAGCAAAGAGTGTAATATATTTCCACGAAATGGAATAGGTGTTTATTTGAGAAGCTCAGGAAAGTATTTTTCCCCCTTTTTTAATGGATTGGGTAACGAAATTCGACATCAAAGACGTGAGCTATGCTCGTTTGACATTCCACTTTTGTATAGATTTCAAAGGAACTATGAATACAATACATAACAATACAATAACTTTATTAACACTCCCGCAGATGTTATGTCGTAAAGCTATCGCTTTGCTAACAGACCTAACAGAGGAGACCATAGATATAGTCACGCACAACTGCAGAAAAAATGGCGCGAAAAGAAAAGAAATCGTCTGATGGAGATGCCAAAAGTACTGACGTTAAAGGGCAAATTCACAAATGCTCCTGTTATTTTATTTACTTATTTTTCTTGAAAAAACGACCTTTGCAACGTTTTCCTTGTGACTGAATTCAGCCTGCACGAAAATTGTACGTTTTCAAGAATGAACCAACACAGTAAATCTAGAAATGAATGTAATATAAGTTGAATGAAAATACAAATAGAGGAAAGCAAAAACTGGTGGTAGTAAAGAACTTTTTAAAGAAGGATTTGTTCGTTTCTGTGGTAGAATTGCTGGATGATGTAACAAGTGGAAAATTGATTTGGTAGATGGTTACACCCCCCCCCCCCCGCCTCATCCAACCCCTCGTTTGTGTGCAGTTGCCTGTGTGTCCCCTGTTCGTAAGGACGTTGATGTGTTTTCGACCCCGGCCTTGACCGGTCTGTCTACTAAGTCTCTTAGCCTTAAAAATTCCAATTTTTCTCAAGGTTGGAAGTTTTACTACATTTTTAAATTAACGTTTTGGCAAGTAGGTTCATTTTTCGATTTTGCAATGATTGCGTGCCACAGGACCATCTTGAGTGCGCATGTTAGTGATTTTGCTGCTGTACTATATGTTTCAACCTCTACCTCTCTAGTAGTAGTAGTAGCAGCAGCAGCAGCAGCAGCAGCAGCAGCAGCAGCAGCAGTAGTAGTAGTAGTAATACTTGGAAATCGGCTAGGTTGAACGAATGTGGGGCGGATCAAAACAAAAACATTCCCGTTGGTTATGGGAGCCCTTGGCACCATCAAGAAGGACATGGAAAACTACACCAGGAAAATCCCTGGCAACATCAACATACATGAACTGTAGAAAATAATTCTCCTTTGTACAGCCCACCTTCTCAGGGGGGGGGGGGTCCTCTCCATCAAGTAGAAACCGTCTTTGCCTCTGAACGTCCATGGTTTGGACTCCGATGTTGAGAGACAAAATCACTCTCAATTACAGTAGTATATCTCTAGTATGACTTATATGTACTACTACTACTACTACCACTACCACTACCACTACCACTACCACTACCACTACCACTACCACTACCACTACCACTACCACTACCACTACCACTACCACTACCACTACCACTACCACTACGACTACGACTACGACGACGACTACGACGCAGCTACCGCTGCCGCTACCGCTACTGCTACTACTGCTACTACTACTACTACTACTACTACTACTACTACTACTACGACGACGACGACGACGACGACGACGACGACGACGACGACGACGACGACTACTACTACTACGACTACTACGACTACTACTACTAGTACTACTACTACTACTACTACTACTACTACTACTACTACTACTACTACTAAATGCAAATTCATGGTAAATTAAGGAGATCTTTTCTTCGCACTTCCACCCTCGTTTCTCGCGGCTTCGCCGCTCGCCCCCACGCGTGCTCTCGATCTACTGAGTCTATAGTGATGATAGTAAAAATAATAAATTGCATCAACGGCATTAAAAGCACAAGAAAAAGTCGTCAGAGATTGGAAATGATATATACAAATTCAAATTAAGCTATGCTTGGCACGCAGTGGCTCAATCTTAATTTTTCACATTTCTTTAGAGCGACTTTGGGTAGTTTCTGATTAAAAATTACAATATATTGTCCTCCTTATAAATTAACCAGCAAACTTCTAAAAAATTCTGATAGATGTGACCTATTCAGTCAAAGGATCGATAATCCAAATTTCAGACATGTATGTTGCGTGGCGTGTTGATGGAGTGATGACTTTATGGAAATGAACTTTTCAACCAATCAGGTCGCAAGAATTTTCCTCACGAATGTCGTTCAAGACATATGAAGACCTCGATCCACGTGGCTACCTAAACACTTAAACGACTTCAACGCTTTATTTTATTTAGTTTTCTTCCAAATAATTGTATTTTGTGTTTCTCATTTTGAGCTTTTTAATGATTAAACTTCCATGTCTGTTTCCCATTTCTTCCCAAAATTACTGAAGTGTGGTAATCAGTCTTGTGGAACTACAGTAGAACAACAACCTGAGTAGCGTCCTTGGCCTTGTATAAATTAATTAGATAACTTCAAAATTTAAGGCTTAAGCAGTCGTGCTGGTGATTGGCGTACACAGCCTCGGCAATTGCCGATTTAATTCGTTTTTTCTGGCTCTTTTTTCACTGCAGTGCGATGTTCATACAAGTTCAAGACACAATTATCGACTTAGTTATGTTTTTGTACTTAACAATATAACTGAATAACAGCTAGAGGTTTTCAGCTTACCCTCGTGGCGGAGGTTTTCTATTCTTTCCTAATTTCTGATGGGTCGCAAGCAGCGAAAACGTTTTAGAGCAAGGACTATCCGATCCTAGGTATTTTGAGAACGGAGCTCTGGTCGGAGCCAGGGTAAATGGAGTCAGGGTCTTTAGCACCGAAACATACTCGAAATAAAAACACTGCCTGACATGATCTGAGACACTTACTTGGATAATAGATCGATATGTCATTGAAGGCCCGTTCGTTTTCGTCTCTGTTTCCTGCACTTTTGTCGCTTTTAGCCATCGGGCGCTGGTCGACTGGAGATGGGAGGGATTGTTCACCATAGTCGACTAGCACCATAAACAGTACAATAAGACTAAACTGAAAAACCAAACTAACAAATGTGAATTTTATCTTGGTGCCGTTGAGTGGACGTCTGCATGTTGGCCTACAGGTAGTGGTTTCGATAGTAAGCGGCTCACGCACAGAGGAATTCAGCGAATCGTCAGCCATCTTGAATCAGAAATCTTGGACACCCGTGGACTTCGAGGCGGAAAAAATTTGTTTACGTACCGCCACTTCCACATTGCCCATAATACACCTTGTTTGCCCTCCAGAATTTTGCATAAGCATTGTTTATAATTTCTCGTAAGACAACTGTAATACCCAGGAGAAATATGAAAACAATAGTTATAAAAAATTCTGGGGGGCAAAAATAAACAAGGTGCATTTCAGACAATGCGAAAGTGGATCATAGTATGGTCAAAGCTGTTAGCACACGCTTTCTCTTTTCGGGTGCTTACTCGATGTATATACTCATTTATGTAAATAGAATGTTTGCGATATAAAAACAATTTAGATGCAAATTGCTAGGGAAGCAAGAATCTCACGCAATGCAAATCAATATCGCGGCAATTGGACTGTCCAGGCAAATATTAGACATTGCAAGTGCTCGATAATTCCTGACTGACGCTTGGAAATTTACGTTTGACCATGATAACAAGGTATGTTAGCTACCGCAGGTAACTAGTATTTAAGGATCGGTGCAATGTAATAGTGCTCCTTAAGATATTTGAAAGGTCAGAATCAAGGGTGTTGTTGAATGTGAGACACGCGTGGGGTGACGGAGAAAGGCGGGGTGGGGGCGTGTAATTTGGTGTGATCAAAGTGTCATCTGAGATTTTGTTGCATGAAATGAGACAAATCTTTACAAACTTTTGTTAACTAGTCTGAACGGTTGTAGGTGTGGACGTAGGCAGTTTTAATATAAAAGCGAAAACCAAAAAAAAGTGTAATAATAACAAAAATAATCCCCTTCATTTCTTATGGACACGCGCGGCACCTACCCCAACTGTCATTCGATATCAATTCATACATTGTGATGGTCAACAGTTGTAAATAGTTTCTTGGTGGATGAAGAGTCAAAATAGTCTTCAAGCATGCTTGTTATAACTTTTCAATCAAAGGCATGTAAACTTTTTTCTCTTGTTATAAACGTCTAAGCTAATTCAACGACCTGCTCCCAGTTGGCTTTTACAGTGTAAAATTGGTAGAGCGCTGCATCGGTATCGCAAAGGTCAAGGGTTCGAATCCCGTACAAGCCTGATTTTTTTTCCAGGCTATCTTTCCGCAACTGCAAAAGTTGCGTATATATATAACTGCGATGATCTTCCTTCGTATAGTTCTTCTTCACTCCGCGGTTCACATTTATGATTTTCATTTTTTCCATGATAACTTCCCCTAGCTCTTTGTTGCATATGTCAAGATGGGTAAACAATCTCTCACCTCTGCCCTTGAAGCATTCAACACTGACAGGAATTCTATTTTAAGACCCTTGAAATGGGTCATGATTGACAGGAATTTCTTTTTTTTTGCGTCCTCCAATAATCAAAAGAAACCAACCCCACAACCCCCAAAAACGTGCTATGGACCTGACAAGAGCGGAGGCTCGTAGAATTTATACCTCAATACGAACGGGCGTCTTGCATTACTAGCCGCTCAGAATGCAGCGCAGAAGTATTTTTGATGACATTGCACGTACTGTAAATATATCACAAAGTATATCTCGAGTATTTCTAACATTCAAAATAAAACCCCGGAGATGTAGGTATACTTCGAATCCGCAAGCGAATAAAGCAACTATTACAAGTAAAACACACAATCTTACTTGGATAGTAGACAGATACATCGTTCACAGGGAGTGTCTCGGTCGTAACGTTCACATTTCCTGAGGCTCCTTTTCGAGAATGCGATGGTAAAGCATGGTCGGAATAATCCACAAGGACTGAAAAAAGTATTATTAGCAAGGCCTGGAAGAGAAGCCCCGTAATTGTGAATTTTAGCCCCATCGCTGACTTCGAGTGCAGACTGTGATGTCTTTTCAAGCAACCGAAGTGCCAACACCGCAAAACAACAAACACCGCCCCGCAATAAATTAAGTGTGAAATTCGACCCCGTTAATCCTGTACCCACCACAATAGCCCCCCACATAGCCTGCGTGACAGGTGCTTTATGAGCCAAGCGGAATATCGCTTTCGCCCCGCTAAAGCGCCTGTCATGCAGGCTACCCCCCACATGATTGAGAACGAAACCTACATGTAAAAATGTATGTAAATGTAAATGTATGTGTAAGTTTCTATTTTGCTGCATTTTATCAACGCTGTTGTGCAGTGTTTTCTGCTAGTACGGCCCGGACGGTAAGCTTTTCTAAACCTAAGGGCAGGGGCTTCTCAAATTGGAATTCACAACCCTTTTATTTGTTATGTTGTTTTCGACATTTTCGGGCAATAATCCAAGAGTAATATATCGGAAGTATTAGGCCATCCGCCCGGCCATCGGCACTGAAAATTTGTGTCTGAGTTTCGTTTTTCATGGCCCGACCGAAGCGAGACATTTTTGTAAAAAAAAAAACCATAAACATTTTCTCTGTAATTATCCAATAACACAGAAATGTACCATCGGCTTTCATGGAACTGCAGATTTTAAAATCGCGATCATTTCATGTTTAATCACGTGTTAGCCTAATATCCAGCGGGAAGGGCAGGGGGTGCTGGGAATTCTTATCGTCTCTCGCAATCAGACAGGTAAAAAGGAGACTCAAAGAAAGCTGATAGTTCTACTCACACGGATCTTGTCTAGTGTAAAGAAAAGATAAAAAAAGTCACAAGATTTTTGGAATTAGTTCCAACACATACACACGCACAGTTTTATCTTCATCAACAACGCCGCGCGCCTGATCACGATCCTCAAAGCGGTCTACCTTAAATATCTATCATTTCTCTATCTAAAAGCCTCCAAAAAAAAAAGGATTTATTTCGAGCTTATGTCGATCAAACTATTGCGCATTGGCAAAACCCTTGGCCTTGGAAGACAGACGCTGTGACATAGATCCTCATAGGTTTTTTGATTTTGATGTTTTAGCAAAAACGCTTAGGAACCATAATTTTAAGACGCGTACAAATAACCTTAAATTTTAATTTTTAATCGCAACATAACAGACTGGAATAGTATTCCATCGAACATTATGGATGCACCTTCACCTATCTATTGGAGCTTATGGATCATTTGTGTCAATTTTAAATCAGGTGTAACTCGTGAGTGACAAGAATGCAATTTAATTAGGTTAGTTTTCGGCCGTATTTGAATTTTACTACTTAATTCTAGTGTCAATTTTAGTATGCAATTTAATTAGGTTAGTTTTGGGCCGCATGTAAATTTTACTTGTTAATTTTTGGTATGTTTGATATCGGAGAATATTCTTTGTATGGGAATTTAGTTTCCCTCAATTATTCTCCAGTCATGCACTTTTTGTATTTTTTGTAATTTATTTACTTGTATTAGCATGACAAAGTATCATTAAACTTAAACTTAAACTTAAACAGACAATCCATCCAGGACCATTTATTACGACGTTGACGTGTAACTGTAAGGTTTTTCTGCCTCTGGTAAAAACGTGTCCGTGCTCACTTTTGGGCGTAAATTTGGAGAAGCTATTTTATTGGCTGGAACTCTTTTTCTTTTTTTCTTTCATTTATCTTTCTTTCTTTCTTTTTTTCTAATTTGTGCGCAGCACCTATTCGTCAGTAGTCTGCTCCACAACCTTTCTTTGCGTCGTCACGCAATGCTCCTCCGTTGCGTGAAGACACAAAGAACGGCTGTGAAGCAGACTATCGCCAGCGGACGTTGACCGGAAATTCTTCTTACTTTCTTCAATATCTATTTAAAGATACACTTATTTGGCTTTTTTCCCTATTTTCAAATTCACCTCAAAAGACTTATTTAAAACGGTTCATGATCACCCTCGACTGACTACAAATTAAACTGAAGTTACGGAAATGCTGAAAAGAGAAAAATCACGGACATCGACACGAGGTTGATTCGTCACGCATTCCTCCTCAACGAACGTGAGGAACGGGTGATAAAGTTCCAAGAATGTCTGCCTGGAGGGCTACGGCCATGCTCCTTTAAAACTTTACATCTACTTAGGAGATTACTTGAAGCTCAAGGGAATCGAGGCATAAGATATTAAATATTTCAGGCATTGATTTCATGATCATCAATACCCTTTCCCCACCCTACCCCCGCTCCCTAACCATGCCAGCCATGATTCCCGGCACGTGACTGATTTAAACGAATACGCATTTGTCATAAGCTTCACTTGTGACAGGCAATAAATAGGTCACATAAGTGGCTCTTTAAAAGATAATCGTAACGAAGCATTTTTGTTCTTAGCCTTTTGGTCCAGGCGTTTAAAAAAACGAGGAGAAAGGAGTAAGGAAAAAAAGGCCTCTCCTTGTTTCGCTACGATTACAAGAGTACTTACCATCTGATCACTTGGGTGGATCACTGTCAGGCCAATTTTCATCCTTGATATGAAGAGGCTAAATGATAATTTCAAGGTTCTCTTGCCGCGGCATGTTGCATAATCGCATACCTTAGTAAATATTTATATAGCTCATAAATCTACATTGATTCTCTAATTAAAAATCTACCAATAGTGAACGCGTTTGACTTAATTTGGACGCGTTCTGGCAAATTAACGCGCGCAGGTTTTTTTAGATATTTTCTTGAAATTTTACGATAGATTTTGATGCCGCATTGGGATGGCAGAGTTAAGAAATTCTCCCTGACTAACTTGAAAAAAACTGCAAAAATTAATAAAATAAAAAGGTACATAAATTGACTAACTTGAATAATAAACTGAAATGTCGTTGTTGCCTGGGTGTGCGTCAGCAGACACGTTATCCGGTCCTCCTACAGCATCTTTACGTAGATGGGGAGGTAAGGCTTGGTCTCCATATCTCGTAATTGTTCCAAATAATATAATAAGTAGTAGCTGAAACGCGGCGGCGACGGAGGAAAATTTTAGACTCATCTTTTCCTCTTCTTGTCGCACTGGTTTTTGCTGTTTTGGAACCAGCGGAGTGGATTCTGTGAGAGACGGGGGCATAAGGAACGAATGATCGTTCTAAGGCAAAATCCATGGTGAAAGATCGGTTATATGGGCTCAAACAAAAGTGGACTATGAACTGCCCGTCGCTAGGAGAACGCCCTGGTCTCACAAAAATCATACGGTGCATGGCTGAACTCGTGTTCTTCCTGTGTCCCGCGATGGGTGTGCTTTTTTCCCACCAAAACATGGGCACTAAACCTCCCATATGAACGGCTCACCCGGAACGTCAGCCGTCTTTTTTTTCCTACGTTGGACAGTTTACTTTATTTCCTTAGCTGGTACAAAACCATTTTTTTGGATGAGTTTCACTAGAACGACGGTTTCTTTAAAAACCTGATACGTGCCTTCTTTACAAACTTGTTACGCCTGCACTGACAGCAGCTAAAATCACGTGTAACAAATATAATTATATATTTCGTATCCTGTTTTGTAGCCCGTCCTCTCAAGGTCACGTAAGTAATTCGAATTTCGAAGCATAAAAACACTATGGCACAAAATAATGTCTGAGAAAAAAATTATATGCAAACAGATTATCTTGACGGGTAAAGGGAAACCCACCTTTTGCTATTTTCTTAGTTTACGTGTCCCGTATTCTGTTATGTTAGAATGATACCGTTTTAGACGTACTTATACCCCTTGGGTTGGTGGGTAAGTGCGTTTATATAGTCTCAAGTACAAACGCTTTTTGAGAGAAAAACTACTCATTAAGCTAAATTTAACTTTCCTTAGTGTATTCTTTTTTCTTTATTTATTTTATTTTATTTTAATGAAGTAATAAAAAACAAAACACTTGTTTAAAAAAGTAATAACGATCATCTTTCCGCTCTGCTTGCATGTGAGGTTTGACTCACCGGAAGTCACGTAAACTGTTCGGCGAAACTCGAACCGGAAACCACGCGATAAATGTTCGTCAATTATGTTATTCGTTAGTCGATTTTATTGTAAACAAAATAAAATGTATAGTTTTTCAGTGTCAGAAGCGTTTAAGAATCTTGCGCTGTCTCGCATACTACTAGTGACCATTTACCACTCTTTAAAGTGACTTCAGTAAACCTCAGTCATTTTGTGAATGTGGCATGCATTCTCTTTTAAAAAACCGGGCGACCAATGTTCCAATAATGTTTCCGCTTTCTTTGCGCGGTTCTTCCTCCTCGTTCTGTCTTACATCATGTAAAATCATACAGTTCTTACTCTCAAGCTCCTAGATAAAGTTTATCAAATCACTTGTTTGAAGTGACTTTTTGCAGCAGTACCCTAAACCCCTTGTCTACTCAACCATATATCCACTTGGGTGGTTGTCATATAATTCCTAATTGAAGTTCCAGTGGTATCATTTTCGAAGAGGACTGTGAGCCTTTCTCTGTAAAAAGTACTGTGGCACAGTCTGAAAATTACTTGTGGAAAAAATAAAACAGAAATAGAAGAAGACGATGACCACTAATTGCACGGAAAGGAAAATCTCCAGTACGTGGGTATTAAGTGGACTTTGGAACGGCGTTTGCTGCCGATCCAAGAGCACACTCCGCGGTTGTTGTCAACGATTCAGTCTGGTGTTTTCACGATGAAACCTGGCCAGCATACTCACATCAAAATTTCGAAGACAAGTCATTGCAGATAACACCAAATAAGAAAACAAACAAAGAATGGCATGCTATGTTTTCACAAAAGCGCCGAGATTTTGGTATTTTTTCCCCCGGCGACACGGTGTGACGGATTGATCTCACTGTTTCTTCGGAGATTCATTGGACTATACCCCCTCCTTTCTCACAAAACATTCAATCAAAATGCATCCTTAGGTTTGTTTGATTAACAGAAGTTTTGAACAGAAAAGTATGTTTAATTTTGATCGTGAAATAAGTGTGGTGAAGAAATGGGAATTGGGTCACTGAAGTCGTGAGTCTGAGAAACATCGTCATTTGGACTTTGGACCTGAATGGTGAACAACCGGGACTAGAGCAACGTGAACGATTATGACTACGTTCAGTTGGTTTTTTTGTTGTTGTTGGAAATCATTATCATAGTTATTAGAGCTTTAATAATAAGTTCGATCTCTGACAGACTTCAGTTGTTTTTACAGAGAAAACTCTCCTTTTTGTTTTGTCTTTGTTGTTCGGTCAAGTTTCAATTGGCTACTTTCCAGTTTTTGTTTCATTCTCAATGTAACACTAAAAAAAATAAATAATAACTGTGTTATATAATACAGTTCATTAGGGTTTATTATCCATGTTAGAAGGACGTGCATAACATGTGGAGAAGTGAGGCATCTGATTTTACTTTTTTCAAATAAATCTCTACTTTGATTCTCAGTTGGACTTAGTACTGACAGAATCATGGCGTTGAGGTGAACCTTAAAACTGCTCTTTTAACTCTTCTTGGCGTCGGTTATGACTAAAAACGGGCGGATACAGATCATATGTAGCAACAACAGACGAAAAAAGCCAGTACTGGATGTAACTCTTCATTTTTTGTCCCTTATGGACTATAGCACTTTCTGTGTTAGCACTGAAAGATATAAAGGGCAGAGTAATCTAATTAAAATGTTCAATGATAAAGATTTTAAATGTCTTTGAAGTGCACTCTCAACTTTTGCATGGAATTCCTTCCATTCTCCACGCCCTTTACAGAGGCCAACAAGAAAAACCAGTGATGGTAATTGATCAAACTTAATCTCCGCCCTAGAATTCCTCTATCCAGATGTACAAAAATATAATTAGAAACATCTGCTTATACTTGTATCCGTTTTTTTTGTTTTGTTTTGTTTTGTTTTGTTTTGTTTTTTTTATGCATCGTTTGACCCGATCTGTTATTTGTACTTTGAACCAACGTTTCAGATACTGGGAAAGCGAGTAGAAGCACATTTTTTTTCAAAGCGTTTCGCCTCATTCTTTTGACTCTTGGAAGGCTTTTAAACGAGGGGTAATATTAGTCACGGAGATGATCATTAGACATACGTGTAACATGTAACGTATACCAAGCAGCAGAAGATTGAAGAAGCTTCATAAAGTTTCATATACTTGAAACGCGGGAAAAACATTTGCCTCGTGAAAACGGATTATTTTTTTTCTTTCAGGTTTTTTCATTAGTTGCGTGTTTTATAACTACGATGATCAGTTTTACCCGTTTTTTCTTTCTCTCACGTTTCCAATATATAGAATTTCATATATTCACATTATGTCTTCAGGTATTTTATGAACGCACGATCCCGTTTAAGCCTGTATATTTTTTAAAAATTTCAGGCTTTTTTAGCATCTACGTCAGAACTTGTGTGCATAACTGCAACGTTGTTGTCAGGTTTTAGATATTCCCCTGCAGTCAAAATAACTGTCATATGTTCGCCCTTCATATAATCTCGGCGTCTTCTTCGGGTGTATTTAAAGAACTCACAATCCGGTCGTTTTTGTTGCTGTTGTTTTTTGTTTTTGTTTTGTTGTTCTCCAGGTTTTTTCATTTTCGGAACTAACTGGCGGCAAAATCTGGGGGAGATAGGCAGTACCAAACTTCCACACTCGTGCTAAAGTCGGTATACTACACTCTACTTTCAAAATTTTTAAACAAACGTCAGGCCGGTTTATATATAATCAAATAAATACCTTGAAATAAAATGGATCCCTTAGGAGGTGTATTTTTTATTTATTTCTTTTATATTTTCTCTTCAAATAGTATTCTAGACGAGTCAGTCCTTAAAAGTGTTATAAAACCACAGGGACAGCCAACGACGGTTTCCTCCTACATGCTGAAAACACTTTTTAGGCTATCCACAGTCTGGGCTATCCAGAGTACTTTTAGATCTCTAGAAATGAATTCTAAGCGGTGCTATAAAATTTGTATCTGTTCGGTCATACAATAGGACCCGAACTTGAGTCTGTTCGAAATTATCAGCGCTCCAGTATTTCTTTCCCGAAAATTTTAGATGCAATTGAACGTTTCACGAAAGTGAGAATTTTTTTAATTCTTCTCTACATCGCATTTTTGAGTCCGAAAATTTTAGGTTTCCTTTTTACTACGAAAAAAAACCTAACTTGGAGAGTAAAATGTGAAAAATCAAACTTCGGAAAATCGTGGCGGATTTATTGGAAAAGCAGTTCGAAAATTGTACATGAGTAGAACGGTCATCTAGAAATTTTTTAGCCGTCCTCAAGTAATCTAAAATTCTAGGCAATATTCGCTTCTCTGAACAGATATTTTAAAGAAAACAGTCGTTGGTTGGCCCTGAAACCAGTCTACATTGTCGAAACTCTGATAAAATAAAAAGGTTATTGTGAAGAGGGTCAAGATGAAGCTAATCGATACACTTGAAAACCATCGTCCTGTTGAAAATAGATTTCTTTGCAAGGTCGAGGGTCAACCTGACATATGGGCTCAACCAAGAGCCATAATGGCTCTTTGCTCAAAGCGACACGAGTTCATGCACCGTGATAACTGTCAGTCGTCCAGTATGTCAGAATGAAGTGATTTGGGGGTCTAGAGATCAGAGGTCAGTAAGCTGAATTTAAGAACACGGTGCTTACTATGGATATAATACAAAAATAACCTGTTCATTCCCGCCTTTCCACGGCATAGAAAAAACTGGCAACTAATTGTCGACAACTGTAGTGAAAAAAGGAAGTATATTCAACCCTAACTCATGGCGAGTACATTTTAGTATGAATTTTATTGCATATTTTGAATGTAAAACATTGACAATATTCACATTGAAATGTACTAGCCATGGAGGTATGTGTGGTGGGCATTAATTTGGAAAAATCAGTAGCATAACGTCAAAACAGTGAATGTTGAAACGCGGATTTTTGGCCGGTTCGTCTTGAAATTTCAAGGTGTTGCAGTGATTCAATCTTAATGAAAGTTTTAGACATCATGAAGATTGTGTGATGAAGTTTTAAAAAAATTCTGTAGAGACGTTTTAGGGATATTCAGAAAAGCGCTAAAAGTCAAAATTTAGAGCAAAGTTGCACTTGGACAGGTTGTGAAAAAACAGATTAGTTTTCAGGATCGCAAGAAAGAAAATACACCAAAATTTAATTCCTGACATCGAAATATGATGTTAGGCAGCCTTCTGACGCTACTTAAGATTAATTTGAGTTATTTACAACTCTTTTATTAAACATTTTATCACGACTACTAAAAATATAAGGTTTGAAATATATTTGCGTATTATTTGAATTCAAACATACAGAATTTTCTTTCTCACGGAGGTTATTTGCTAAACACCACACTTTAAGTTCCTGGTGTCGGATTTTCAGAAGCAGGTCTAGATCGCGAAAAAATTTATAAGTCGGATTTTATCGATTACAAAGTTTTGTCATAGTGACATCGATTTTACTAAAAACTGCATTTTGGAAACTTCAATTACTGGTGAGAATTTTGTAGCGATGGGACAAGGACAAAAAAAGAAAACATCGATATGGTCCCCGAAAAACTGTATCGAAACACCTTATGAGAAGTTTTTCTAATTATCATCATGACTTTTCCAGGTGTGAAATAAGTCAGGTGATGGCCTTTGGCGCAAAATCTTAAGTCAGCAACCGCATCTTCGGACTTTGGAATGGTACAACGGTGCACCCGATTGGTGACGATATAAACGATTGATATAACGTTCCATTGTATTGTTTTTTTTTTTTTTTTTTTTTTTTTTTTAGTATCACTATGATACACTCGTCAAGTTTTGGCAGGCTTGCTTGTTATTACTAATAAAGCACTGAATAAAGACACGGTTTTTGCATATTTTTGTCTTTCAAGTTTTCCCTCGGTTCAATTTTCATTTTCGTTAATTTGAGCTCAGTACTCGTTCACTTACAAAATAAAGTTGCGCGGCAATAAGCTGTATCCGATGATTGTATCCTGATTGAAAGGACGCGCATGAGGCGTCTGTTTTCATTTATTTTTTATTACCTTTTTTCAAGTGCGACCTTTACTCACTGACTTGGAGACGTGGCCGCGAACCTTAGAAACACCCGTGGCACCTGAACAAATGAAAGAAAATACCATGTGAATATTTCAGTTAAGATTTTAATTTTTTTCTTTCGTTTCACATGCTCTGAGCGCCTCGATCCTTAGGTCGGCAAAGGAAACTATAGAGAGAGATATGTTTAAAAGTGGTTATTTTAAATTTTCATTGATGAAGATTTTTGTTTCTTTTTCTTTTCTTTTTTTTAAAAAAATCACCCTTACTGACTTAATTAACCCTACCATCCCATACAATCCACATCCACTCCTGGCCGAAGCCAACTAAAATGACTTCAAAGTAATTACAGGCTTATTGTAGCCATATGTAAACAAAAACAAAACAAAACAAAATGGAAACATTTGTTACTTTTATGCCATTGAGACATTTATGAATTGTTAAATTTTAGTTATGGTGTGAGGCGTGAATAAAAATAAAATTGTCAGGCTTGAACAAGACTCGAACCCATGACCCTTTTAAAACCAATGCAGTGTGTATTTATTTTTCTATCATAGTACAGTGAAACCCCGCCTTACGGTCACCTCGATATTACGGCCATTTTTTTTGGCCGCCTGGCAAAACGGCCATACATTTTCTTATAAAAAAAGCCCTCCTTAATACGACCACCCGTTAATACGGCCAAATTTTTTTGGCCCATTGGTGACCTTATTAACGGGGTTTCACTGTAATAGGTAAAACATGTGTTCATCCCGCAAACACGGAACTAGTCAAGGCAGGACCACAGACCGAAAAAATAAATGCATGAAAGCAAATATCGTAGATAAGTAATAAGATAAATATATAAATAAATTAATAACGCACCGCAGACAATTGTGTTCCAACGCCTAACCTTAAAGCAAACTGGGATCTATGTTTACTTTGTGAGTTCAAATCTTTAACGCTGACTTCGTTATTTGCCTTTACAACTTAACCCATAGAAATTCAGTTTTGGAGGCGAGGACCGACATGACAAAGAAGAGGAGCACCAGATCCTAATATAAAAACAAAAACAAGGGAAAAAAGCGGGGATGATTTGAACATTGAGGAGGACTGTAGTTGCCAATATTTCCAATTTATTTTTTTCGGGGTCTTACAAACTTGCTAAGACTTTCAATTTACCCAAATGAAACCCGGGGATGACAAAACAAATCCAAAAGTTAAAAGAAAGGTCTTAGCTTCTAAGCGCTTAGAACAGCGATGTATAAGCGCTATATAAATTCCATTATTATTATTATTATTATTAAAGGTCTAATGCCACTTGCAAACGGATGCAAACATGAAATTGTTGGCCAACAACTCCCAACATTGTTGGATGTTTATGTTGTGTCCGTTTACACATCCAGTTGCATGTTGTTGCGTGTTGTTGGGAGTTGTTGTGCAAAGTTTGAAACTGGTCAAACTTCAATCTTTGAAAAATTCCTAGTTTTTAAAAGAGAATTTCTCCGGAAATATTTAGCATATCGGGCTGTTAAAATATTCATAGATGGTATTATAATAAGAAAATGTTAGAATAAGCAATTTAACTACTAATGGCTGACCTGCTTTAATCTTCTTAATTTAAATACTTTCAGTTTAGAAGTTCTGGATTGTTGGAAAACACCTCTGTCCTTTGTTTTTATTTATTCATTTCAGGTCTTAATGTTTTTGGAAAAATCTTTCTTATTTCGTTTATATAGCAGTGCACGTTAAAACAACTAAAGTTATAACGATCCCTAATTTTGTCAACTTCAAGTGGGGTCCCTGTGAATGCGCGACGGTGACTTTGATCAGCGGTAACAAGCTGTAAGGCTTGGTATCCGCTCCTTTTTGGTAATGCCCTTGGCAACGAAACAAACTGAGGCGACCATGTTTTCTGCTCCAGTCATCAACAGTCTGTTTACTGCAACATTTGGAAATCTTACGGACATTTGAGGACAGCTTTTTACTTTTCACGCTTGAAAAGACATTGTTAAGCCAACTGGCGTTTTTTATAGGCCCGGTCGGGAATTTAACACTAATATTCTACGTTTGAAGGCGCTCTGACAAAATGTCGATTGCTGTGGCTACTCCGAGGCATTGCTTCGGTTTGAAAGCCGATGTTGCAGACAATATTTGCTATCTGGACGAGCAAACGATCATCTATCCATCTGGATCGAATTGTATTTTATTCAACATCGACCAGAAATCTCAACGATTTATTCCCGGGACAGATAAAAGTTCGGGTATGACTGCGATGGCGGTTAGTCCTAATCGAAGATACGTCGCTATTGCAGAAAAAGGAGAAAAGGCTACCATTACTATTTATGATCTTAACACGCTTCGGAAGAAAAAAGTGCTTAGCTCACCAGAAGTTCAATCCAACGAATTTGTTAGCTTGGCATTCTCGCCTGATTCTAAGTATCTTGTATCGCAAGGAGGAAGACCTGATTGGACGTTGTTATACTGGACTTGGGAGAAAGCTAAAGTTATGGCTGTCACGAAATCTACCAATCAAATGAACTCTCCAGTATATCAGGTACAGGGTTTATTTTGTTTGCTTGCAACAGAACAGAGATTTGTCCAAATAAATGCTATTAGTCTGGGCAAATTGCACTAGTAACTATATATTGTTGCAGACTCAGTATTACTTAACAATATTAATAAATGAGGCTGAGTATCTTATGAAGAATTATGGAGATCAAGGAGGGTGTTATCCTTCGAGGCCGTAGGCCGAGGCGGATAACATCCTTCTCAATCTCTATAATTCTCATATGATACGAAAGCCGAATTCAATAATTGTTTTATTATTTCAAAAGTAGGTTGAGTTTGATTGTCCAGGTGAACGTAGTCCTGAATAGGACTGTTGTTGTTGACAGTGACTGACGTTTCAACAACCTGTGCGGTAGTCATCTTCAGAGTCAAAGTGAGTTGTATCACATCAGTTGATGGTATTATACTCTGGTTATTGATTTGAGTGGTCAATTACATCGTGATGTTATTGGTCGTCTGTCCGTTAAGCCGTGATGTTATTGGCTATGAAGACTTGTAATCAGTAATTGGTGCGTTTCGATCCGTCCATTTTCACAGTTAAACAGTCGTCTATTGTTAGTCAAATTGTCATTCTCTCGTAGTTAGTTTTGCTTGATCTAGTCAATAAGTCGTTTGTATGGCGCTGGTAACTGTTGGCTACGATTCAGTGGCGTTTGTTCTAAGTTAGTAAACCAGCTTTCTAAAGTAAGACGTCCTATTCAGGACTACGTTCACCCGGACGATCAAACTCAACCTACTTTTGAAATGACTCCTGGGTTCAAACCTTTCACTGTTTTATTATTCGTTCAAAATAATTCCTAGTTTAAAAACGTAGCTAAAACATGCTTACCTCCTTCAATCCATCAACGTTAAGTTTATCTTCGATAGTGCACGTTTAGGGTTGTTCAGCTTCACAAATATTCTCCAAATAGCAGATGTCGCCCTTCGAGGTTTCTTCTTGCTGTTTTTGCCATGTTTTTAGCTATTTTTTGCCTAGTTCTTACTCTTGAAACAAGTGCAATGTCCACTATTTTTCAACTTCACAACCAAAACAACTCAACCTCGTTCCCAGGTCTTCTCGGTTAACGGTGCATTAACTTTCAAGAGCAAAAATGTGTCAGGAAAGGGCAATACAATTTAAAAGACTACATGCAAGTTTCAACCTTTTTTAATTTACCTGTGACCAAGAAATAGTACTCTGCACCGCAGATGAAACTAAACTCTGGTTAAGTCTGTCTCCAAAACAGCATGGAAATCCTTGTTCTGGGTCTCCACCTGTGTACCAGGATTTGAGTACGCATCTTGATTGGCCTGTTAAAAAGCCATTGTGGTTTTGCTAATCAGGATGAAAGGAAAATCGAAACACACTTCCGGTAACTAATTTTGGTGAGTACATTTGGGGCCCAGAACATTAGGATACCAGTGCCGCTTTGCAGACATTATACTCACCAAGAGTAAATTACATCTGTGATGCAGGCTAAGAAATGGTGGCAAACCGAATGAATATGAATTTCTTAATTTGACTT